GGGCTCTGGGACATGGGAAGGGAGCAGGGCTGCGATGGCACTGGACAGGTAACGAACTAACGAACAGGAGCTGTGAAGACACTGGATAACAGCAAGGCCATCAACAGACAGGGAATTTCTCTGCATTGTTTGTGCTGTGCAGGACTGCTTCAGAACAGGGAGGGGGATTTAATACCAGCAAACACTGATACTGATGTTGAGGGATAAAATGGCTTCTTTGCCTGAGTCTTTGATGCAAAGGTCTCTCAGATCTCTGCATTCAGTGAAGAGCTTCAAAGAGGAGGAAAGCAAGTATTGTCAGGAACCTCACTGAGGGGGGGAAGGGGTTAAAAGCCGATGTGGCAAGGAAGAAAAAAATAAGAAAAAGTAGTATTTTCACTCAAAGATGACCTTGCAGCTGAAAGATGCTAATATTCGGTGGGAAAAATTTCACATATTGTGATTGCTTTGGGTTGTTTTATGTCTGCTTTGAGAAGTGCAATTTCTGCAGAAGATAACAGGATGTTGTAAAATAGTCCTGAAATGCATTTTTCACAGGCCTTAGACCTCCTGGTGAGAGGGAAGAGAGATAAGGAGTTCAGAGATTGCAAAAGCACAGCCTTGTGAAGGAATGTGCCTTTGATGGGCCCTGTGGTATGTTATGGCAGAGGAACAGGCTTGGCATGTGTTCATTTTGCCCCTGTTAAGATGGAATAAGCTTAGGACTGTATATGTCCCCTTCTCCTAGCGTGGCGATAGAATAAATGTACTCTTTACACTTCAGCTGTGGATTTTGGCTGTCTTGGTTACCTGGATATATTCAGTTCACACACTCATGGAATTCATGAAAGAAGGACAAATGCCAGTATCAGCCCCTGCAGTGGCACTGGCTGGAGCTATGTGGCTGGCAGTATCCCTGTGGGAAAGGACTTGGTGCACTGGGAGCTGGAGGCAGCCATATGCACTGGCAGTGAGGAAGGCCAGGAGCACCCTGGACTGTGTGACCAAGAGATTAAAGATATGGATCGGAATTATCCAGATTATTGTGCCTTGGTTGTGGTTCCTCAACACAGGAAAGATGTCTGTAAACCTGAGCAGGTTTAGTGAAGGGCCTCCAAGGTGGGGCTGGAGCACCTTGCCTGTTAGGAGGCTGTGGAAGCTGGACTTGGATTAGATCCAGTCACACCTACAACACCTACATTCCATTCTGAGAAGTTTAGAAAGCTAGGGGGTCCTGGGTAGGTTTTGGGGGTGTTGGGGATCCTTTCTGTACTTTATATCTCAAAAAAAGCTTCTCTAATAAATTTTGTTTCAAGCTCCCACTCTGCCCACAATGAGGGGAGCGCTGCCGGGGGGCACTGGGTCCCTGGGGAGCAGTGATGAACACTGTGAGCACTGGGAGGAAGCGCTGGGAGCACCTGGAACTCTGTCATGCCCCCCAGCTGCCTCAGTTCAGCTTCCTGCTTTGTGTGGGGGCTGTGCGGATCCCTGTGGTTTTAGGGTATGCCTACAAGCAGCAAGGTTTGATTGACAGCTGGCATTTATTGGGGAGAGGAAAATGGAGTGGGGGGTGCTGAGGGAGGTGGGGGTGGATGATGGAGATCTGCAGGTGTGGGGCTGCTGGGGTTGTCCAAGTGCGGGATGCTGGGTGACAGGGTGTTGGGGATGGCCGTGTAAGGGGTGCTGGGTGTACTGACTGTCCAGATGCTGGTGGTTCTGTTTGTTGAGGATGCCCAGGTGCAGGGTGATGGCAGTGCTGCTGGTGCTGAGCGGGTGCAGCTCCTGTGCTCAGATGGAGATGCTGTTCTCCGTCTCCAGTGGGTTCAGGTAGTTGTATCTCAGCTCAGCCTGTTGGTTCCTCTCCTCAATCCGGTCCCGGATCTCCTCCAGCCGCCCTTGGAAGGCCCGGATGAGCCGTCGGGGTTCCGCCTCTGTGAACCACTCCTCTGGGTACTGTCCCAGGAGCCTCTGGAGGGGACAGCAACATGGACCCTTCAGCTTCAGCCCTTGGTGCTATTCGGGGGTTCCCCAGCACCCTGGTAGGTGTGGAGGAATGGTGGCTGTCCCCCAAGCTTGGTGACACCAAAGGTGGTGACATCCACCCTTGTGGGCACCTCTTGCAGTTCCCCCGGCCCACAGAGCTGTTTGGGGGGGGGCACGTGGGGACTGTGGGGCCAGACTCACCCTGTCCTTGAGTTGGGAGCTGAGGAGAATGAGGGCAACCAGGATGTTAGCAGTGGTGGCCACCTCAGGAATGGTGTCGAGGAAGTGCTGGAGGAAGGCCCGGCCCTTCTCGCTGGGTGGTGGGTGGCGCATGGAGGACGGGGCGTTGGGGACGAAGGCCCCTAGATCATACTGCAGGGGGAAAGATTACTGCAGAGAACATCCCCCCAACCAGCAATGGAACGGGTGGGGACATCCTCCCAAAACAGCGAGGGGACAGGTGGGAACATTCTTTGGCACAGAGAGGAGGCAGATTGGAACATCTCAGCATGGCAAGGGAGATGGATGGGGACATCTCCAGTGTGAAGAGGGGATGGATGGGTACATCCTTCTGGCATGGGGACCCATTGGATGGGGACACAGGGTGAGGACATCCTTCCAGCATGGACATAAAATGGATGGGGACATCCTTCTGGCATGTAGAGAGGTGTGATATAGACATTGGTTCAGGATGGGGACATCCTTCCTCCACACAGAGGAGTGGGAGAGGGCCATGTCCCCAGCATGGCTTGAGGACACCTGAGGATATCCTTTGGGTCCCTGCCCATGTCCTACCTGCCCATTGTTGACAGCCGCGTGCTGCACCGAGCAGGTAAACATCACCATGGTGAGGAACTTGATGAGCTCCACCACTGTCTGCAGCGACGAGGGAATACCTGGGTGGGGATGGGACAGCCAAGAGCCTCAGGGACCTGCGTGTTCCCTGCCTCCCCTGGGGACATCCTCTGGCAGCCACAGGTGTGCTACCTGAGGAGGTCCTGCCCAAGAAACCATTGGTGAAGATGTCCATCACCCAGGCCTGCAGCTCGGTGTCCCCGCTCACCGCTGCATCCCCATCATAGTAGAATGTGACGATGCCAGTGACAAAGCTGCCGTAGGGAAGAGGTGATTGTGAGATCTTGAGGCATGCCAGGACCACCCTCCACCCCCTGAAACCAGTCTCACCTCTCAATGGCTTCCCAGAGGCTCATCCCATCGTCTCGGTAGTAGTAGTTGGGGACATGGGACATGCCACGGTGGCGGATGTCGTCGGGGAGGCACAGGGACGTGTAGGTCACCTGCTCCAGGCCTCGCTGCACCACCAGCAGCAGCCCCTCATAGGTCACCCCGGAACCCTGGGTGAACCATGGTTGGGGAGGGCAGGAGGTGCCCAGCTTCAGTGTCGCCCAGTGCTCCCCATACACCCCAGTACCCCATACTGGTCCCAGGTTACAATTGCTCCAAGTACACACCCAGTGCCCCTGGTACTCCCATTTACCCCAGTGCTCTCCAGTGTCCTCCACACCATGTTCTGTAATGTCTGCCAGGTCTCTCATGCTTCCCAGTGCCCTCTAGTGCCCCCAATACACTACAGTGTTCCCCAGCAATTTCAGTACACCCAGTGTTCCCAGTACGCACCAGTACTCTACATTGGTTCCAGTAGCACCCCAGTACTGCCCAGTGTTTCCAGTAGACCCCAGGGTTCCCAGGAGACCCCAGTGCCTCCAAGTAGAATCCAGTACCTCCAGGAGACCCCAGCATCGCCAAAACTCCAGTGCCCTCCAGTGTCCCAGTGGACTTCAGTAGACCCCCAGTGTCCCCAGTACACCCCTGTGCCTCCCAATACCCCAGAGCATTCAGTGCCCCAGCAGAGCCCAGTGGCTCAGTTCCCAGGGCTCACCTTGTCAATGAGGCCACCCTGGTTTATGAGGACACTGCGGGCCAAGGTGTTGATGTGCAGTGTGAAGTGGAAGTGGGGCATGAGGAGCTGAGGGAGGAATAAACACCTGGCAGGTGACCATGGACCCCTTCATGGAGCTGGGGGGCTGTCAGGTGGGGCATAACTGCCCTCAGATCTGGGGACAGGGAGCAGCAGGTGGCCCTAAGGGGGGACCTTACCTTGAAGAGGGGGTGACAGGTGGGCAGGTGGCGCAGCGTGGCGATGGCAAAGACCTCCCCAAACAGGTGGGTCCTCAGCAGGTGGGTGAGGAGCTGGTGGCTGTAGAAGTCTGCGTTGCGCACCCAGGTCTTGGCCAACAGCCAGTCCCACTCATCATCACTCGGCAGGAAGATGGGGCTCTGGGGTCCTGGTGTTTGGCTGAGCTGTGGGAGACCACACGGTGGTATAGAACCATTGCCACCCTCCTGACAGTAGGATTTAGAGTGGGACACCCCTACCTGGATGGCGATGGGGCGCAGGAGCCCATCAGTGCCTTGGTGAAGCAGGCAGAGTGGGGCCGCTATGTACTGCTGGCGCCCGTAAATGGTGTCGGTTGGGATGTCCTCCAGCACCTTGTAGTCCACAATGAAAATCCGACCTTCTTGCAGCTCCTTGCCCAGGTCAGTGCCACCTCCCAGTGAGCCAGCAACCATCTCTGGTGTCACTGGGAATTTGAGTGGCAGTGTGGTGCAGCGATGGATGATGATGGGGTTGTTGCCAGTGAGGAACTGGGAACCGAAGAAGTCATCTTCTTGCCAGTGCTTGGCCACATACTCAGGGACTAAGGCGATGATCAGACATCAGCACCCACTTACCCACCCTCCAAGCACCCTGAGTGATACAGGAGGAAGGGCAAGGGACAACACAAAGGCACCCACCAATGTCCCTGCCCTGTGTCCGGGAGAAGATGGTGCGCATCTCATCCAGGCTGTTCCAGGAGCTGCGTCTCAGTAGGAACCCTGACAGAAAGTGGGAGGCCCCTCTACAGGGCAGAGGGGGGACCTCAGCACACTTCTTGGCTTCTGTGGCCCCTTTCCCTGCCATTACCCAAGTCCTCCATGGCCTCAGGGCACAGCTTACTGGAAGATGAGGAAACCAGTGAAGTTGTTGGCCCTGATGCGGGAGAACTGGATGTTGGAGTCCAGCTCGAAGATGGAGTCCACATTGAGGCAACGGGGCCAGCCCTGGGCGAAGTTCTTCCACCTGAGCGGGGGGAAAAATGGGAGCAGACATCAGCATCACTGCTGACCAGCCCACCTGGCCAAAGCAGGCCTTGCCCCCCTGTCCCTGCTGTCACCGGTAAGCCTCCTGCCGTGCTGCCAGCTCCCGATGACGATGTTCCTTGAGGATCTGCAGCTTGTCATCCACCAGCTTCTTCCCTAGAAAGAAAGGGGGTGTCAAAAGTCGGACCTCTGGCCTTCAGAGGAAGATGGGGACAGGGTGGGTCCTACCTGAGCCCTCTCGCACCTCCACCGTGGTGACTCCCTCCAGCCACTGGTAGCAAGGGAAGCGATACAGGGTGCCATTGGGGGCTGCCACCCGTACGTCCTTGCAGAACCAGGCATCCTCCAGGAAGAGCCGCCACTTGTGCAGGCGGATGAGGACAATGGGGCCTAAGTCCTGCCCACAGTGCACAGACAGGCTCCTCTCCTGGAGAGGAGGAAATGGCTTCTGGGGGAATGGGCAGATGCCCTGTAGTGGCACCAGGGACACCAGCAGAGAAGGGGCTCAAAGCATCCCCACTTGCTTCCATTGCCTTCAGGATCCTTTTCCTCCATCATCCCCTCAAAGTCCCTTTCCTCCACCCTCCCAGAACACCATTCCTCCAATCCCCCCAGGACCACTACCCACCATTCTTCCCAGATTTTTTTCCTCCAGACCCTGGAACCCCTTTCCTCCATCTCTCTCATATCCCTTCTCACCATCCCCTTGTATCCCCAGGAAAGTCCATGCAGCCCCTCATGTCCCCAGGACAGCTCTATCACCCCTTGTGCCTTTTGTCCTTATCCCCATGCCCACCTTCCCTGGCAGGAACAAGAAGGAGACGGTGGTCTGGCGGCTCTCGCCATAGGTGCCCACCAGGGTGATGGAGATGGAGTTGTTGGTCCCAGCTTCCACCATGTCACCTGTTGCCACTGTCACCTTGTAGGTGGCCATGACAAGCTGCAGTGATGTCCTGGAGATGCCGTCAGAGAAAAGTGAGGGGCTGTGGGGTGCAAGCCTGCTGTTTTGGATGATTTGGGTGTCGCAACCCCCACAGCCGTTGTGTGAGCGGGTGACGGGTCCTTCCTCCTCAGGGAGGGGTTATCAGACCACTGCTACTGTCCAGCATTGAGTACATCTGATCTCAACTGATGTGGCCATGGGGACATTGCCCAAGTGATGGCCCTGTGGGTTGTTGTAGAGACATTGCCCAAGAAGTGGCCCTGAGGATGGCCATAGGGACATTACCCAAGCAATGGCCCTGTGGGTGGCTGTGGAGACATTACCCAAGAAATGGCCCTGAGGATGGCCACAGGGACATTACCCAAGCGATGGCCCTGAGGATGGCCGCAGGGACATTACCCAAGCGATGGCCCTGTGGGTGGCTGTGGGGACATTGCCCAAGCGATGGCCCTGTGGGTGCTCTGGGGACATTACCCAAGCGATGGCCCTGAGGATGGCTGCAGGGACATTACCCAAGCGATGGCCCTGAGGATGGCTGCAGGGACATTACCCTAGCGATGGCCCTGAGGATGGCCACAGGGACATTACCCAAGTGATGGCCCCAGGGTTGACCATGGGCACATTACTCAAGAAACTGTCCCATGTTCCTGGCTATGGCAATGGCCCAAGGGTGTCAGAACCCAGGACATCCCTCTGGCTGTCCTGAGCAGCCAAGACCCCTGCCAGGGGTCTCAGAGACCCTGGCACAGAGCCCAAGATGCCAGTGGTTTTGATTATGACCCGTGGAGCAAGTTACCAACCTTAGATGAAGATGTGCAAGCCATGACAAATTAAGTAGAATTATAGTGAATTTATCACAAGGTGAAAAAGTAGATTTTGGGGGTTTTAGAATGGGGATTCAGGGGGGCAAGATGGAGGGAACTGAGTGTGCCCAGCCTTTCTCCTTCTTCTTCTTGGCCTCCATCTTCTGCTGTGATGTTGGTACTTACAGATTGGTTTAGAGTAGAAGCTCACTGTCTAACATAGGTGATAGGGATTGGAAAGTAATTGTAAATATTGTATACGTAGTTTTTAGTATAAAGACATAACACCACCCCGGGGGCAGGCAGAGTGCCTGGAACTGTCCTGCTGAGCTGACCTCGGCAGGGCAGGAGAAAATTTTTTATAGATAAAATAAAATAAACAACCTTGAGATTGAGAAATGAAGAGCCCTGACTCCTTCTTCAAGCACTGGGCTGGGAAAAGAGACTTTAGAACTTTTCTCGGGGTCACTCTGACCAGCAGAGATCCCGACACAAGGGGGTGGTTTGAGCCAAAGGAGGGGCATTCTCTGCAGGCCAGGAGCTTTGTGTGCCCCCACCCAGGGTCTCCTCCATCAAGAGCATCCCCAGCTGCCTTTGGCAGGCAGGAAACAGCGGCGGCAATCGCAGGCCTGGAGGTGGCTCTGGGGACCAGGCCACAGTGGAGCAGCTCCGTCAGTGGTTCCAGCACTGGGTCTGGGGGCACTCCAGGGAGGTGGTGAGGGGTGAGTGGGACCCCTGGCATCGGAACATCCCTGAACCGGCATTCCTGGGAATTGGAACTGCTATTGCCCGAAACTGTGACCCCCATGAGCCCCACATTCCTGTGCGTCAAGACCCCCCTGCACTACATTGCCTGGCTCTGGCACCACTCTCTTTCTTCTTTCCCAGCCGTCCCACCTTTCCCAGCCCCCAGCCTCTTCCTTTCCCTTGAACCTGGCACCCTGTGCCCATTCCTGCCTTTCCCAGTCCCCAAACCCTGCTTTCCTCAACACTGGTGATGCCTTCTTTCCAGAGATCTTGCCTCTCCCCACCCTTATCCCTGCCTTTCCTAACCCTGGGAATCCCCCCAAAGTGCAATTCCTAGCACTGGGAACCTTGAACTGCAATTCAAGAGCACCAAGATGGCCTGATCCACTGTTCCATGCACAGAACAGAACCCTGAACCCCCTTTCCCAGCCACCCTGTCTCTCCAACCTCCAGACCCTCCTCTTCCTTTGTCCTGGGACCCCCTGCACCCCCATTCCTGCCCTTCTCCTTTCCTTAACCCCAGGGATTGTCATGATCCTCTAGTACAAGTGGGGGTTGTGATGGTTCCTTAACTGATCTCAGAGTGCAAAAACAACACAGAGGGGATTTCATAACTGTGTATAGGTTTGATGAGGGGTTCAGCAATTAATTTACATGTTATTGCAGCATCATCACCTTGTGTTACCATAAAGGGAGGGAAAACATTATTTTTGTCATCCAACACTAGTGTTACCATGATTTATCAGGTCTTCATGTCCCTCAGAGTTCTTCTGTGAAAAAGTAAACGCAACAGAATCTGCCACCAGGAGGCACGAAATTAAAATGATGGAATTATCCAGCATGTATTTACCCAGTGCTCTTTCCCCAGAGCATCAGGGGCCACCCAAGCATATTTATTCAGAGAGGTTTTTAGCACAAGTGTTACTTGCCCTATAGTAAGGGAGGTCCACCAGAACAGGTTGTCAAGGGATGTGCTGGATTATTAGGATCATTTGGTACACAGCATAGGAGTCAGTGTAGATGCAGACAGGAGAGGTATTCTGTACCTCACGATGGAAAACACTCCAAACAACTATCAGCTCCCCAACCTGAGTGCTGCCTTCTCCCTCAGTAATAATTTGTTCACCAGAGGGAATGTGGAGGGCTCTGCTGCTGTATCTCCACACCTTCCCCTCTCGTTTAGCAGAGGCATCAGGGAAACAAGAATTTGCTGATTGTTTGGGGAACAAAGGAGGGGCTACTTTAATTACAGAGGCAGGTTTGTCATGGCTTCTGCCCAAGTTCTCAGTTTCTTGTATCGCTAAATTTTTTACAGCACCTTCTGTTATGGAGAAAATGTTAGAGTCATGTTCAATCTGTGCATACCAGTTTGTAACTGAGGCCCTCTGGGCCACCCCGTCAGGTGGGGGGGTCCCAGTAGTGACTGTCTTTGAAAAGGGCCTCTCAAGACTTGGCTGTTGTTGTGCAATTTTTTCCACTTCTATGAGAGCTAAGCTAACCACAGACAACCCCTTTTCCCAGGTGGTGTATCTTTTCTCAGCATCTTTGAAACCACAGGAATAGAAACCAACAGGCCTCATTGGACCCTCAGAACCCCACTGCCAAATGTGCGCTGACAGCCCTGAGGAGGCAAATCCCCATTCCACCTGAAAGGGATCTGTGGGATGGACAGGGTCCAGTGCTTGGTAAGCTGTTGCTTCAAAGATCAGTAATTGCAATGCTTCTTCCTGAGAAGGAGTCCAATCTCATTTCACCCCTTATCTTTGCCTGAGAGCCCTCCTTAATTTCAAATTTATAGCAATTCAGAGAGAGGGGGTTTACATTTTCCATTTCAGGGAAGGCTTCTGCCTTCCTTAGCAGACACCTGTCTTTTCAAACCAAGACAAGAACTTATAATTAAATTTATAATTTGCTGTATAGTCAAGTATGTTAAAAACTGATAGTTCTTGCTTCACCACAAGAGGATTTTGCTTCTTTGCTACCATAAACAAGACTTTACATATTCGTTTAAAACTGATAAGCAAGAGAAAAACTCGATCTGTAGTTTGGACTATGGCCAGAAGCCTTGGAAAACAAACAGCTACCCACAAGGACCAGGTTCATCCAAAGAGCACCCCAAGGAAGACTGCTGTTACCCCATTGACTTCATCTGGTGACCCCCAGCAGATGGTACTCAAGCATGGAGCCATAAGGAGTTGATTACCATATGAAGAGGCAGGGAGGCAGGGAGGAGGGGAACAGGCTATGAATGTGTATAGGCGATGTTGTAATCTTTGCAAATATGTATGAGCTTATGTATATATAAACAGAGTCTGCTCCGTTTGGATAGGCACACTTGGTGAAAATATTCCATGAAAATATTCCCAATGTGTCCTGCGCTGTAATATACTTACCTGCTTCACAACTATTTATTAGTTGTGGAGCTCTTATTCCGAATGTCAATAGGCTGGGGGTGGGGGAAAAGGCTTTGGGTGTGTGTTGGAAAAACCTCTGGCCAGAAGCACAGTGACTGCCCACCCTGCACTGTGCAGAGAAGCCCAGCTGAGGTTCACAGGGTGGAGAGACCTGTAATCACTGGGAAGGGGAGTGCAGGGGGTCCCTGGCATGAAGGAAATGAGGTCCAGGAAAGGCAGGATCTGGCGGATCTTTGCACGGTACAAAGCAAAGAGGATTGCCCCTTGAATGAGGTGCAAATAAAATTTCAGGGGCAAGCTCCAGGCAAGCACATTGTCCCGGCACAAACCTCTGTGCAAGATGTAGCAGAGAAGCTTTCTGTTTGGATTCAGACGAGGAGAGATGCTGAAGGTGGTGGTGCTTGGTGCTTAGAGGGAAAGTGCATGGCCCAGGTCAGAGAATAGATGAGGATTCGCCTTGGTGAGAATGAACAATCGACAGTTCCAAAAGGCGAACAACGAGGACACAGAGCTCCGGGCTGGTGTGTGCAGCGTCCTGGCTGCCAGAGCAGCGTGGCTGCCGCTTGCTTGCCTGCCAAATTCATGTTGGCAGTCATAAGGGGGAAGTTCAAAGATAAAGCTTGTTCAAAGACAAGCACTCTCCTGGCTTGGCTCCATTCGTGTTGGGAGCAGTTCAGGGAAGAGCTCCACTGTGGATCCCGGCTCTTGGAGACTGACAGGAGGCAATCCCGAATGTAGCAGGGAAGGAAGAGGAATCGTTGTATCATTGGCTATGCAGTTTATAGGCTGAAAAAGAAAAGGCAATTGCAGCACAGTCTCTTTCTTTTCTGTGCAATCAGCCACTCAACATGTAACTCACACCCGCTGAACTGCATCCACCTCCCTGGAGATATGCACTTTCCCTTAAGCTCTGTGTACCATCTATGTACCTCTCATTGTCACAGATTTGAAACCCCTTCAAAATGTACAGCAGCTGCTTGCAAAATAAAAGTCCCAGAACGAAAAGCCAGTGCTGGCTTTCATAGTCCCTTTGCAGTCTGTAAACTACACAAAATGCACTAGTGATTTCGCACTTTCATTTTCAACTATATGTATAGCACCAGCACATTGTCTCAAAGTGGCAGAGCCCATTGTTACAGTGAAGCGTTTCCAGCTGCAGTTACTACTGAGAGATGTCCCAGGACAGAAAGCATTTTCTGCACTTCCCTCTTCCCTGGGAAACCTGATATTCAAGCGCAGTCACCTTCATGCACCTTCAGTGTTCTTGAGTGCAAGCAGCTAGAGGTCACAGAGAAGGAAGGAAATGTCAGGGCAGACTAAAGAAGCCATTTTTCCTAGCAGCATTTAAGTTGTGCACAAAACACTTGGGACCATGTACTGCCTTTTAACATATATGGACGTTTTTCACTCTTGCAGTTTTGTTGCCAACTTTCAGCAGCTGCTCCCATCAAATAGACTGTAGAAGACAAAGCCATTGCTGGGCTGCCCCTTCCCCTAGCCTCACCTAAGCCACATCAAACTCACAGGTGCACTCTGTATATCCATTCTCTACTGTGTCTACTGTTGTTATCTCTGGATCTCTGGACCTAAAGATAAGGGCAGTTTTCTGATAGGGCTGGAGAGGAAGAGGTAGCAGCACAAAGCTGCTCTTGTTGAACTTCCCACTTGACAACTGCTATTGTGAATTTGGCAGCCACGCTCCTCTGGCATCCAGTACGCTGCACACACCATCCCAGTGCTCTGTGGGCTTGTTCTTCGCCTCTTGGAGCCTGTC